TGACACAAAATGCAAGTTTTTATTGTTAAAACTTACTTATTTGCAATTTTCCATAACTTTTTTATAAGAGTAGCGAAAAAATGCGTGCGTCAGTTTAAAGAGCACGCATTACAGCATATATTGTCATAGTCTCAGGCCGGTAGCTTGCTTCCTTCAAAAGCCTATCGATTTTGAAGATTATACGTTTAATACTTATTGTAAAAATAATCGGCGGAAAAAAACTCCTTACGTAAATTTTATAAGGGGCTTGCCATATGTTTGTAAAACTACTCACGTAAGACCCCCCCCAATATATATATAGTAATAGATATAGATATGGTGCAGGAAATCTATACTCGACAATCACATATTAGGCATCTTTAAACTCCTTCAACTTTTTACACAGATATTATTTTTAAAATCTGACTGGTACTTTTGTTCTCCACAGTAAGCTCTACAAAGTTACCGGTCAAATTTTAAAAATAATATCTGTGTAAAAAGTTATAGGGTTTTAAAATCCATAACTTTTGATCGAAATTGAAACAACGTATTAGTAGCATATAATTGGTTAAAATTGGTAGATCGAACTAAATATGGTACGGACCATTCGAATTATTTAGGCATCTTTAAACCCCTTCAACTTTTTACACAGATATTATTTTTAAAATCTGACTGGTACTTTTGTTCTTCACAGTAAGCTCTACAAAGTTACCGGTTCAATTTTAAAAATAATGTCTGTGTAAAAAGTTATAGGGCTTTAAAGAACAAGAATAAGATGTAATCATATTACGATACGATACTATTGGTCAATTAAAATTGAAACAAATCACGTGATTGTCGAGTATAGACGTCCTGCACCATATCTGGACGTTTGTCAGGATCGGTAGCACAACACATCTTGGCAAGAGACTTATAAACTGTTGGTGCTGAATGAGGCATCCATGGTCGTAGTTCATTCGAAATATCATGTACTAAACTATTATCAAATTGTCTATTTCTGAAAGGCGGTTCACCGCTAGCAAGCAAATACATAATAATACCGAAGGCATATGTGTCTGACTGCTTAGTAAATTTGCCCGTAGAAAAAACTTCCGGCGCAACAAAAGGCAAGACTCCTTTAATGGAAGTTGACTCGTATTTTTCCGATCGAGCTTGACCAAGATCGAGAAGTAATGGTCTAGGCAGAGAAGCACCTCTATGCCACGTACGACGGGGGTTGGCATCCACGGCTATGTTGCCTCCATGGAGGTTTCTATGTACCAATCCGCAGTTATGAATCCAATGCAGACCAAGTGCAAGATCACCCAAAAACTCACATTTCATCTTCCATGTCATTTTGTTAAAATTCTGCTCCAGATAAGACCACAAATTACCATGCTTAGCATATTGTACAATAACCATGTACTCGTTCGTCTCCTGTTGTCGCATAACTCCATAAAAGTCTTAAAAAATTGTCGCTGTCCCAAAAATGAGCAGAACATTTGGCATGATTTACAACCTATGAAGAAAAATAATAAATGTTCGGATCCAACATAAGTTGGATTAATGATGCTAGAGCTGGCCTACCACGAAAATAAAAATGTCCGTCATTTCTTCAAAATTTTTAAAGCGCCTGAGAACAACAAGTTCTTCTGAAGCGTTTTTATATTTGGCAGTATGAACTATTGTATAACCACCCGATCCAATTTCTTCGATTACATTAATGTCGACATCCTGAATAATCTGGAAATCACCAAATGGCAGATACAAGCGTTCATCAAGTATCGTGTCTATCTCATGATGAAATACTAAATAATAGTCCTGAGTAGATGTGATACCAATGATCCAAATATTATCAGTTGCTGACAGTATTTCCGGGTAGTCTTTGGTTAAACAGTACAATTTAAATTTGATCAAAACACGTCTATACTATTTGAACGTAGCAACATTTACGCGTCAAAGTTCTTTTACTTGATAAAAATCAAACGACTGCGCACATTGTCCATCGACTATCTTCTTGAGTATCACTTTAATTAGTTTATTTCTTGCCGGTTCTAAACAATCCGCTGTATGCGTGCATCCATGGTGTAATGATGGGGGCCCTTCGCACGTTCGTCAACCGATAGTACTCTATCCATCGTAGATAGCCGTCTTCATGAAGCACACCATCACGCCATGATTTTGTTACCGGTAGTCCAATGAAAGGCATTTAAAACAAAACGACTTCAACGAAGGTGCTAATGGTGCTGTACATGCCAGACAAAGGCCAACTTCATTCACGTCTTTAATTAAAAAGTATGTTTGCGATTCTTTGTCAAATGTAAATCCGATAGTGCTCCAAATAGTAGGAATAAGCAAATCCGGGTGGTCATCACATAGCTGGGGGAACTCAAAATTAATAACTAGCGATATAATGTTCACAAAATATTAACAGTTTACCTTATCATAATCCGTTTCATCCGTTATCTCGAGCGGGATTAATTTTACATTAGAAAAAATGATCGGGGTATATATTTCTATGCGACGCCCACCATTTTCAATACAATCGAATGGAATCCATTCCAAATAGGCCTCGTTTGCTGAATTTGTTTGTAATTGCGATTTCTTAATAAACTCGTCAAGTTTCTTATTATTGCTAGTCCAACCGTTGAACACTTCTTTATGGCCACAAATGCACCACACGGGACTACATCTCAGCAATCCACATGCCGAGCAGAAACCATATAGGCGATAATAATCGTAAATGTATTCAGTAGTTACCAGATAATAGTTATCACAATACTTGGTAATCCCATTTATCTCAATATTAGAAGCCCATATCGGATATCTTCTGAAATGACTGATAACAGTTTCCCATGAATAACGCTTTTGAAGTAAGTACACTCTGGCAAGCTCACTTATATATTCTGGCGTACATTTTTCGGCACTTCCAATTAATGACAGCATGTCTGTCCCCCTATTACTTGTAACGCGAACGATGGTTTGACCATTAATACTTTCTGGACTTGATTTTATGGCAGCATATGTTGTTATATCGATCCATTGAAGAGGGTAAGTGTCAGTTGACATTCGTCTAATCAAATTGTCAATTGCCGGACATCCTGAAGTATGAGACAACGAAGAAGTAAAATTCGAGATAAAGTTACCCATAATGATCTGTTACCAAATTGCCACGAACACGTTCTAATAAATATTATTGTTCACGTGATTTAATTAATTCGCCGTGTGTAACAAGACACAACTCGTATTCACGTGACTGGTTTAGTAAACTTCATCATTATTATTATTAAAAGTTCGAGAATTCTCCGTTCGCTTCTATTTAAATATTTTTAGTCAAACTTTTTATACTAATACCGATATTTTTTATACCGATATCTAATTTTTTCCCTCTATGCCTATACCGATATTCCGATTTCTTATTAAAAAACAACTTTATACTGTATATTGATTTTTTTTGCTGACCAGACCGCGAGGACATAATGAAAGTACGAATGTCGGCAGAATGTGACAAAACAAGTGACCAGGTAAAAAAATGATATTCACAAGTAGATGCGAAAATTTTGATTGCTTCAGGTCATATTAAATATATTATTATGTCGAGTAATACTATACTAATATTAACAGAGAAAATGGCGCCAAGAATTGTTACAATGTCCTCATAAATTGTAACTGTATGTGTAAAAATACCAAGTACGATTTGACGCTTCTTGAAGACGCGAAATCGATTTTCGCCGTTAATCACTAATAACTCAACAACCAAGAATCCAATGCTCACATAATTTGCATGTTTGTTAATAATAACTTCAAAATACTTTCCATCAACTCTATACTAATACACCATTTCAGCAACGCCGGAAAGAGCTCTCATGGTCTTCTTCTTTAGTTGAGTGAATAAGTGAAAATCAAAAGGAGCATGTTTGCACTTGTCGTCTTATGTGGTCATGATGAGCATGACGTCCACCAACTTTTGTTCTTGCTTTGTAGAATTTCGTTAGCTAATAATACAGTCCAACTTGGTTATAACGGATTCTACGCGACCAGAGAATGTTCCTTATTACCAGAAATTCCTTATACTTTTATAGCAAAGTTTATAATTTAATAGCTCCATTATGTCCAGATCGCTAGAAAACTGATGTTTATTAATGCTAAATAATACTTGAACTCATATCTGCCGTCTATTACAAACACATAGTAATAGAGTGTCAAGTCAACATAACCTTTAATGCATATTCAATATATTCCATATAGATTTCGATAACACCAATTGTTTATAGCGAATACCTATCTGCTTATTACGAATTATTGAAATATTCATAATGAAGATTATTGTTTTTATAACGAAAATCTTCATCATAATCAGTGGCCCTATATGTTGTTCTCATATAACCATTCTTAATTAAGCCTTGGTTTAGACAAATCTTTGTTATAAATCCTTGCCTTGACATTCATTCTGGGCATCATTGCTTTGCAGGACGACCAGAACGAGCCTTGCCTGTTACTTCTTTACCGTCTTTGAATGTAGCAATCTAATTCTGTTAGACAGCGCTTCTACATTCACCAACTCTTTGTGGATTAGAGTCGTTTTTCCAAAGTATCGGCGGTCTCATTTTTCCAGTCGCTTCACACGGTATACAAAAAAAGGGTTTCTCGGCAATGAGATAATGAACTTGGCTCTACTTTTTTTTTTTTCATTTGTTACATGTAACTTGATAATTATTTCCTATTTTCACTTAAACTGATGCAATCTCAAGTTAGAGAAAACTTTTCAGCCCCGACGTAGTAACCGATCCAAGTATCATGATGAAATATGTGTATGAAAGCAATTGGCTGACTTGTCCAAGTTACACAACGCCTTCAACCTTTTCAATTCAGTCGCGGCCAAAAGAAGCTTATTTGGACAGAATTAATCACTATAATTTGTTCACGATATCACAGACTGTCTATATGATACTTTAGTGCTTCATTTCTAAGCCTCCTTGTACTATAAAATTGTTCATATCAATTCCAGATTCATTTTGACTTAAACGCATATTAGAAAACGCATGTCTGTCCACAAAGAATCAGAAACCGCTGACCCAACAAGGGTAACAAAAGACTTGGTCGGTGCCAGTGAAAAGTCAAACGTGTATTCATTCTCTCCTGACGCCACGGCTGCTGAAAAAGCAGCACTCGCCAAGTCAAAAGAGCCAGTAGGGAAAGGCCCTGTTTCTGAAATCCCGAGTAGCGACATTAATACCACCAAGACTCCAGCCGCGTCGTCCTCGTCTTCGACCTTGCCTTCCTCCGTTTATCCAGACCAGAGCCCCTCCGACTCTGACCTCTTAGTCCCAGGAGGAATCACTTCCGCAGTATCAGACGTTCCAGACTGGGTACGTGTCGGCTGGAACAAGGTTGCAGAATTGGAAGCGACGGATCAAGAAAAGGATATCTTTGAGGCTATAATCGGCGATATTTATTATGGGAAACTTTGGCTGAATGTCGGGGCGGTATTCGTAGGAATTCTCTTGACTTGGATTATCACAGCTTTAGGGTTTGGCTTCGGTTGGGTAGCGCTTCTGGCTGTAGTCACTGGTGAGTTTTTCGTAATAGTGAAGAATAGTATATATGCTATTTGTTAAGAACTCGTTTTTCTATAAGGAACATAAATCTTTATTTCCTGTGTCGATTCTAATCTTCCCTGCTTCTCGTAACTTCTATACTATTTAACTCTTCATTCTTTTCTAGCCACGTACTTCAAAAACTCTTCGTACAGATTCTACCGTGCGACCCGAAATAAAATAATTCGCGAATTATCGCAAAAACGCCTCGAAACTGATCTTGAAACGACCGAATGGCTTAACGAATTTATCCGTCGTTTCTGGCTGATCTTCGAGCCGGTTCTGTCTTCTATGGTAGTACAAAAGGTCGACGCAATTCTTGCCGCGTCTACTCCTGCATTCTTGGATTCCATTAGACTTTCAACGTTCACTCTTGGCACTAAACCGCTAAGAGTTGAGAGTGTGAAGTCTTACCCGAGAGTTGAAGATGACATTGTGGTATGTATAAGATTTGTTATAGTCTATGGGAAATTTCGTATGGTCTATGTATGGAATAGGAGGATAGTGTAAGTGCCGGACACAAGTTCTAGAATATTTGACTTGGTTTATTGCCTGCTTGAAGATCTTTGAATATGTATACAATATTTGACAATCTCGCTTCATTAAACGATAGGTCATGGACTGGAAATTTGCGCTTGAACCTAATGATGTCGTAGGTTTGACACAAGCTCAACTTCACAACAAAGTAAACCCGAAGATTATCCTCACTGTCCATGCCGGCAAAGGCGCGACTAGCACAAAAATACCCATTATTTTGGAGAATATGTCCTTTTCTGGTCATCTCAAAATCCAAATGAAACTTATTAACACGTTTCCCCATATTCAAACTGTCGATGTGAGCTTCCTAGAACCACCAAAATTGGATTTCGTGTTGAAACCAATTGGGGGTGAAATGTTTGGTTTCGACATTGCACTCGTAAGAACTTGATTCTGTTCGTGGGATGAAGGCTTTGCGTAATTGTGTTTCTATGCGCAAGAGTTTTCACCGATCGATCTGATTTTTTTGCAGATTCCGGGACTGATATCATTAATACATGATACTGCTAACGCAGTGTTAAGTCCCATGCTCTATCATCCGAATATATTTACTCTCGATTTGGAAGATATCCTTGGTGGCTATCCAATAGGTAAATGTACTTCCCGTGCCAGAATAATCTGCTTCTTGCTTCTTTCCTTGTATTCATTTATTTATAATTAACACCTTACCACGCGATGATTTTGTAACTACAGAAATGTCTGCTGGTGTACTCAAACTCGTAATCCACAATGCCGAAGGTCTAAAGAACGTTGAAACCTTCGGATGCTCAGATCCTTATGTCAAAGTCTTAGTCCATGGCAACAAGGAAGTTGCTAGAACGAAAGTCATTGATGATACACTGAATCCTCATTGGAATGAAACCCATTACCTGATATTGACGACTTTGGCAGAACCGCTACACTTGGCTTTATTCGACGCGAACCTGAGCAAAGATAAACCATTAGGGAATGTCGTTTTTGAATGTTTAACGTTGAACGAGAAGCCGATTCAAGATTCCATGTAAGTTGGATGTGTTAGAAAACTAGATGTTTTATGCGTTTTATTTTTCATAAATGTGTTATGAGATTTATTGTATTATTCTGGTGTCTAGTACCTCTCCTGTGATTCTTGATGGGCAAGAACATGGTACACTCACTTTCGATGCTGAATGGTACCCAGTCATACATCCCAAGCCAAATGAACCATTGCCCGAATCAAGTAAGCTATATTTGATGGATACTAGTTTTGTATAACAATTGAATACTTCTAATCATCAATAAATATATACTGTTTAGACAGCGGCATTCTTCGCCTTATGCTAAATCAAGCCAAAGATTTAGACGCCAGTAAATCGGTTGTTGGGCAATACAATCCATATGCCGAATTGATCCTAAACAAGATGCCAGTTCGCAAGACCAAGACGGTTAGGAAGACAAATAACCCGATTTGGAATGTACGTATGTCTTTACAGGCCGCATTCAAATAATTTATAAATATCTCATAGCCTATTCCTCATTCAACCATAGGAACACATTGAAATATTTGTAACAAATAAAGCCGCAGCCCAACTGGGAATAATTGTCCGCGATGAGCGTGGATTTGCAGAGGATCCCGCCGTTGGCGTATGGCGTAGTGATCTAACCGAATTTATGAAAAGCATAGAGAAGAAAAATGACTGGTTTAATCTCACGAGTGCTGCTACTGGAAAGATCCGATTGGGTTGTTTATGGATGCCGGTTCTAATGGATTCTGTTCCACATCCAGCTGGATATGGTAAGTATCGGGTTATTGGACTATTGAAAGGGGTGGATAAATTGGTCTAATATCGATACTCCTCATTTTAGTTAATGCAATTGGAATAGTCAAGTTGAAAATAAAATCCGCAAAGGGTTTGAAGAATTTGGAAACCTTCCGAGGTAAGCTATGAGACTACTGCAAAGTGCCAATCCGAACACTTCAAATAGTTGCATTTTCTCAACGGACTAATCTATGTACTTTATCGTATACCACAGGCCAATCAGATCCATATGTTATAGTCTCACTGGGTTCAACGTTCCGTAGTAGAACGGAAGTGATTAACAACAATTTAAATCCGGAGTGGCAAGATGAATATCACTATGTGCCAGTACACACCAATAAAGAGATCATAGTTCTTAATGTAATGGACTTTGAGGACTCTGGATCTGATAGGCGACTGGGGAGAACGCAGTTACATCTCAGCGATCTTGTGAATAAGAATGACGATGGATTATATGTGGCTAGCAAGAGTTTGGACATGTTAGTATATGAGAACTATGCGGAAGAATGTATACTAGAGTTTATTAACGGTTCATACTTTTATGTGTACTAGCTCTGCCCCGTTGGTCTTTGAAAACAAGGAAGAAAAAGGTGAACTATTCTACGAAGCCTCATTCCATCCTGCTTTGGTACAACCCGCGAAAACGGAGAAGAAATCCCAAGGCGGAGAGGAAAAGGTTATTGAAACATCCAAGACCTCGAAGGACATTAACATTTTTGAATACCGTACGTTTTTATACATGTGTACGCGCAAGAAACAGATGTTTTTAACGTTTTATACCAAATATTAACAATACTTTTTTTTCTTAGAATCTGGCACGTTGATAATCAATATACATCAAGCGAAGGTCGACAAGAAGAACGTGTTTGTTGAGTGTTTTATTGACGGTGAAGTATATCCGTTCTATAAGACTGAAAGTCTAAAGGTTCCTGATCCTATATGGGAAACTGGTAACAAAATGCTTTTGGTGCGAAGGTCTGATTTGTAAATGCCTCTCGGATAAACATCACTCACTCTTTCATTTTGTCTTGTCTTTTCTTGCTAAGTAACCGACGTCGCGGTGAAAGAACTTGATTTTTCCAGACTGACGATTAGACTAGTACAAAGGGTCAGTAACGAACTAATTGCAGTTTATGAGGAGGACGTGAAGAGTTTATTACGACGGAGCAAATTAGAAGACGGTGTGTGGTTGACATCTTCTGCGTCACCTGATGTAAAGTTGAACATTTCATTGGATTACATACCAACCAATTTACCATTGGAACCGAGTGAAAGCGTTAGCAGTAAGTTAACGTTGCGTTTCTTTTCAATTATAGTATTTTATCTGTGTATCAATATTTATTTGCGAATTTACTATAGATCAGGGATTATTGGTGGTGACTGTCAAAGACGCCAAAGATCTTCCAGCAGCTGATCGCTCAGGCACAAGCGATCCCTATATAGTATTCACTTATAATAACGAAAAAATATTCAAGACAAAGACCGTAAAAGAGAACTTGAACCCTGTTTATGACGAGCGTTTTCAAGTACAAATTGTAAGAATCAATTGGAACGCGTTCTATACATAAGAGTTCTTTCTTTTTCTAACCGTCATTTATCTGTTTTCATTTAGAAATCGCGTACGGCGTCCAATTTCTATTTTGAAGTATTCGATTGGAATCGAATAACTAGTGCTACGTTGTTAGGCACAGCTCAAATAAATCTTAATGATCTTCCAGCGCTTGAAGCAATAGAACGTGAAATTCCCATTTCTGGCGGAAAAGGCAGTGTTCGACTTATTCTACTATTTCGCCCCGAGTTTGTTAAAAAGGAAGCGCGAGTATCCTCCTTTGTGGCTGGAGCTAAAGTCGCCGCTAATGTCGGTAGTGGTGCTGCTCAGGTTGCGTCAAATTCAGTTAGAAGCGTGGTTTCGAGTGGAGGTGCGGTTGGAAAAGCCGGTGTCAATGCTGTTGGTACTGCTGCCGGGGCTGCAGCAGGTTTAGTAAGCGGTGGTGCTAAATTTATGTTAACGAGTAAGAATGAAGAGAAAGTGGAAGAGAAGGAAGTGAAAGAGGAGATGAAAGAGGAAGTGAAAGAGAAAAGTGATGAAAACTTGGAGGATAACTTAAGGCCAAATATTGATAGGCAAAATTCAGAGAGGAATGGAGAGAATGGTATGTGACAACGAAATTTGATGATTAAGTATGAGGGCACATTTAAAATGTACATGTATGATTTCGGTAGGCATGTCGAGCAACCGTAGCTCAACATACATGCAACAACCAGGAGGTATAGTTAGTTTACTTATCTCATAAATAAATGCTTCAAACATAAGTCCGTATAATCTGAATGAGTGGTATGCTATTTTGCAGGCGTTTCAAGTGCACGCAGTTCAATGTACCTTGATCAATCTGGAGGTACGTTAATTTGAGTTTTAATGGCTTGCGTTCTTAACTGTTTCTCATGCTTTGAGGCGCTCGTTGAATAGAAATCGTTGGTATGCCTGGAACACTGACTTTACACGTTATTGAGGCAAAAGACTTACCTCCCGAACGTACAGGTAATAACGCGAATAAACGGAACTATTGATATTATAAGCGCAACACTTTAATTCTGTCTTTATTATATAGGACCAGGTAATCCATTTGTGCGCATAAAAGTTAACAAGAAAGATTTTTACAAAACACAAGTAATCAAGAAGTCGCAAAATCCCAAATGGTTGGTTGCTATTGTTTTAATGGCTATCCTCTTAACAGGCTGCTGGGACTAACTTACGTTTTTTGTGTAGGGATGAGGTAACTGTATTAAAGGATCTCACGGGTGTTAACATAGTGATAAGCTTTGGAGTCAAGTTCTACAACAGAATAACCGCCAACGTAGATATTGGGGATTATGAAATGGTACTATGGGACCATATTCTTCCAGGAAAATTTAATGAAGATTTTTGGGCAGATTTGGGCGAAGGAAAAGGAAAACTACATGTGAAGTTGGAATTCGTACCAAAGTAGAAAAGAAGAAAAAGAATTGCTGATCCATTTGATTAATTGTAGTGATCGCAAGATTCGTTAGCTTTATATGGTGAACAATCTGAATTGATTTCTTGTTGTAAGCAGATATTCTATTTATGTGTGAATTCAAAAAGAGCGATGTTTATATCAATCTCATTGTTTGAACAATTCGTATTTCAGTAACTATTAATGTATTTGTTACAATTGCAAGTTACTGATAATCTGCGTTCTTGTCTGCGGGACCGACCTTTACCTTACCGAAAATGTTATAATTAGCTATGCAACTTGAACATTTAAGCGCGCAAAAAATTGCCCTAATATCTTACGTCTTCGCTGAGAAATCGAATTGCCGTAAATGTTGACATAACGAGCAATGCAATTACCATGAGACTATACTGAAGTTAGCTCATCAAGTGTACATATTAATGTAATAAATCCTATATGACTAACTTTTGTGTCATTGAAAAAGCTGAGTTAAATCTAGAAATGTAATAAAGTACATAAATTTACATTCAAAAGCGCTGGAAAACTGCTATAGAATACAAAAAGGCTGGCCAAATATCTCGCTTTGTTGCTGAGAAATTGAATTTATTTACGCCTTGAATGACTTCAGACCATTGTTGACAACACTCCAAAATTACAATTCATGCATGTGACAACCACAACGCGTTCTGCACTAAAGTATTTACTCTATAAACTTTTTAGTGGAAAATGACTGACCGACAAGAACTTACTGAGTTTGAACGTCGTCTTATCATTGGAGGGTGGCTATTTGGTCACTCTAAACGAGAGATTGGGCCGGGAGGCCACCAATCCTGCCAGACAGATAAAATGACTTTGAAATATCTGTTCGAACCGATCTCCGGCAGACTACAAAACAATCCCTGCAAATTAATTGGAACTGCTGTTAGTAAATCGAGCTTTGTATAAATTAGCCGAGTTGCCGTTCAGAAACCACTTATTCCTGTGAAAAACGCAAAAGATTGAATACAATTGGCTCGAGAATATCAAAAAAGATATTATATGGTTGATAAAATATTTTACATTATAGCAAATTTTTAGCGCATACAAGTTTGTGTACATTTGTTTAACAAATTTTCTAAACGATGTTAAACGTTTAGAAGTATGACTTAATTTCGGTGACGTAAATGTTAGTTATAGAATTTGTTATATTACTAGATACCGTCGAATTTTGATAAAAGTGAAGAAGCAACCCGATAGCAGAATATGAAGACAAATCGCCTAAAAAAAATAAAGTTAACAAATTAGCTTAAGAAGTGATGAAAAAAAAGTGCTCTACCGATAAACAACAATGAACCTGATCGCAAAATAATGACAAAGAGGATAAGTTATTATCGATAAAAGTGGATATTTGTATTAGTATAGAAAGTTACGTGCATAACGTTGAATTTGCATCGTAGGATTACTTTCATGAACTAACGCTAATATCGTTAATATACAAACATCAAAACAATTGGTATAGCAGAATCTTCATTGGTGGAGCTCAGCAATAATGTAATAGACAATGAATTGCGATCCGTATTAGTCACTGTTCTCTCTGTCTTTCGAGCAATATCATCAATCTACTTCATTCGAGAATCGTGTTCATACGCTTAATAGATGTAATATATGCGATCTTTTAAATCAGACATACAGTTTTGCCTAGCGTGCCATTCAGACCGACAATTATACATTACGAATAAGCCGTCTTGGCATTCCGTTATTGGGGGCCACTAACGAATATGTTACCTCACCTTTGATTAAGTCAGGTATCGACACTGGTAAAAAGTTGGCAGATGTCTCGGTTGCACTGCTTTGCTAAAAGAGTTTTGCCGGTTCCCGGAGACCCCAAATATAAAATCAGAGATTACCGAATTGGATAAAGGTGGAGGCTTAGGAAAGGTTGGGTTTTATTTCTGGTGATAATACCTTTTGATGGCTGAATTCCCATTCGTCGAAAAGCGTCTGCATGTTTATACGTCCACACTACAGACTCGCCTAGGAATCATTTGAATTATATTAAATGATTCACATTTCAGCGTTCTCAAATCTTACTTTACGTCATCGCTCCATCGAATCGGGGGTCGATTTTCTTCACATAGTTCTATTCACGCAACGCGCTGATCTTAATATCTGTCATACTTTCAGAAAAGTCTTCGTTGTAAATACGTTCGGATTTCCTTATAACGGCATGTAAGTTGTTAGAAAAGAATTGGTATCAGTTGACTATACAATCTTGTACCTGTTTTATCGATGCTTTTGATATTAGCGCGCTCATAGCTATACGACAAAGTGCCGGCAAGATAACCGTGGCATTTGTCAGAGATGTCGTCCAAGTTGATATTGAGGAACTGTCTTAAGGCCATTAATAAATGGTTTCAATATTTCGCGTCTCTGTACGGATGTTGGCAAGTCGAGATGATCTCGTCCACAGAATTAAAAATATAACCTGCCGTAAATAGCACTGTATCTGGATATGCAGGGATTACGTCTCCAACCGTAATGGAGAAAATCTGTTCAGATTTAGTCGATTATAAGGCGGACAAAGATCGGGGCCATAAGGCCAAGTATTACCTTAACTTTAAATAGGTTTGCAAGATGCGTTATTATATAAGTTTCCAATGCCAGTTGGTCCGTTAACAAGTATTAGTTTCGGAATTTTAATGTTATGAATCAAACATTTGTCTCTTTGAATCGAACAATTGATTCAATTACTTTAGTATTAACTAACATTATGAAACACAAAGTGGATATAAATTTTATGTTGCACAAAGTCGAACGTAAATTTTTATTATTCGCTCAAAACTCAATAAAATACAAAAGGGTAAAATTCAAGTGTGAAAATCATTTCAATTTATTTCATCATAATATAATGAGGCCTGTCTGTTGTCGTTACGAGCCTCGCGGTCGATTTACCCGCGGTCTTGCAGCTCGAGGCGGGTTTCGTCGCGGTTGTGGCGGCGGAGCCGTATCGACCCTATAAAACAAACGCAAATAAACATCTAACCTGTACTAACATAACGTTTTACTAAAAGCTTACTGCCTTCTGTTCGAATTTTGTGGTCTTGCGGCTCGAGGTGGGTTGCGTCTCGGCTGAGGTGGCTGCACCACAATTTCCCTTTAAATGCAAATATTATTAATATTTTACCAAACTTAATGATAGATGACGTCACAGGACTTACTGATTCCTCGTATCGATCGATGCTTGCTGGGCCGAGGAGTCTGGTGATTGTGATGGAGGTGCTATTTCAAAAAAAAAAAGGGTTACTTTAGCCAGATACGCTTTATAAACACGTATTTTATGTAGAGAGTGTTTATTTTTACTTAGTTTACCTTGATTATCTCGCACCACAGCTCTTCTTCGCCCTGGCCTTCTAGGTTGGTAGCCGACCACGGGCGGGAGGGAAGGGAACCCCCCTATTTGAGGAGAATAATACTTGGTTCAATAAACAAAACAAAAACGAACAAAATAAATTATTTAATGAGTTTATTTATCTTACCTTGTTGAGGAGGGTGATTTCCCCGAGGCACCAAGACAGGTCTATTTCTGGGAAATATTCTATTCATGGCATTCGTCGCCCTCAAACCCCACGGTGGAATAGGGTGAGGACGTCTTTGCAGCGTTACGGAGACGTAGTCCGCCGGGCGGTTCATTGCCAGATTAAACCCCCTGAGACTAAGTTCCAGCCTCCGCTCTCTCTCATAGAAAGCTTGAGGAGCGATATGCTCCTCACGCTGCGATATCCAATGAATAGTTACCTGTCTTCGGTTCTCCCTTTCCTCCTGACGCATTCGCTGGCTATACAAATGCCAGCGCGAAAACCTTCTTGTTTCATCCCACCTCGGCAGGTCTCTCCACTGCTGATAATCTTCGACGCGCCTCGAATAGGCCCGGCGCCTTGCGTCAAAGTGACGGCTCGTCTGCCAGTCACAGTAGGCTAGATGTAGACATATAATAAAAGCTGTGAAAAAAAGAATAGAAACATGTGGTTGGTAGTATCCCTGACCCGCAGGAATAGTACCGGTTAGCCAAGAAAATACGATCAAACTACTTGTTGCGACCAGCGCATTCAAATGACGCCTCCTAATGGAGGCGAGAGCAACTTGAACTTGTTCTCCGTCCCTCGCCAGTCGTGCTGACACAACCAAACTCGGAACGGAGAAAAAAATTTGTGCGCTTGTGTCGTATGCCATTGTAAAGTGCGCTTGTTATCTTTTGCAAGGTAAAAGCGTAAAGCGCGTTATTTTGTTTACAAGGAGTTTTTATTATTTTTAGAGTTCACGTAATATTCCGAAAACTACGTGATATCACGTTACTGTTACGTCAACTACTGCGGACATTGAAACGATATAAACTTTGTTCATATATACATAATTGCTCTTTTATTTAACAGTGCAAGTAGGTCAGGTTTGGCAGGTAAACCGTTACAAACATTTATGTTTGATTTTATGAGTTTCTATAATTTCTATTGACAGCAATATTTACGACAATACTTTGCTCAATCAACTTAATAAGCCGCCCACTGTGACTAGTATCACGCTCAATATTACTATAAGTCTAATAGGTAATTTGTTAAAAAGTTTATGTAATTTAGCGAAATAATGTCTCAAATAATTATTCGTGGCTGGATTTACAGTACTTGCGCGCTTACTTAAATATCTTCTTTCGGCAATTAAGATAATTACTTTCGGAAACAATGCAGTTTCAACATTAAACACATGCTTGCACAGTATTGGATTATATATCGCAATTTTTAGAATATTTTCTGTCCTGTTTGCCGCATGTAAATGACAAAATTTCCAAGTCTTTAATATGGTTCAATGTCCACATAGAAAGAATTGTGCGATATCAACAACTGCAAATCGATAAGATTCTAGTACAACTTTCTCATTATTTTTTTGGGTAGCTCAATTTCAATGAAATTTATCGCAAAACTTCAGCCGTTCGAACTTTTTTACTAAAGCGTTCCAAACTCGTTGCTAATTATAGTACCGTGTGTTACTAGATTTGATAAAGGTATTCGGTTTTCTATAATTGGCAAGAATGGAATCCGGACAAAAGTACAGTAGCTATATTTGAAGATGTATGTGCTGATCCCAAAAAAGGTGCAAAAAAGAATCGTTCCTTATTTATCGAAGGACGCCATTATGACATCAGTTTGATATACGTTTCTCACTTTGACTGTCCAAAGATAATACAAAAAAATCTCACACATGTCTGCTTGTTTAACGGATCATGTACCTCGGATAAACTAGTCAGAATTGTGCGTCAATATGCTAATGGCTGGCGTAGTGTGATTAAAATTATTGGCAAATATTTATGTGAGCAAAAGTTCATTGTTTTCGATCTAACCGTACCTCGAGAGCATCCACACAGAATACGACTTGGTTGGGATAAACCAACGTTTGACAATTTCTGTCTTCCGCAAGAGAAACAAAAACATGTTATCGAAATGTCATTGGAACGGTTTCCCGTTTTATCTTTGAAAATATAGTACAGGAAAATCTCTCTAAGTGCACACCCTTGGACCAGACGATTGTGTGCATTTAGAGAGAGAGTGCACTTAGAGAGGTTTCTCTGTAGTGGGGATAATGATTGTTTTGACTGTTCAATAACCTGCTCTTTATGTAATAATAATCATAAAAATATATATATATATAAATTATATAGAGCGTCTATGGGGTAGTGGTGATTATGTCAATACAAGCACTTATTATTATCACCTCAGATGCTGGGGAATTAAATATCAGAATTCAATCCAAATAGTAACTGTAAAGGCGTGAGATTGAATAACCATTTGCAAGGAACTTTTATTCACAACGAGGTGCTTGCTAAATATAAAGCCCAGTTTAAGCTGTTTTTGTCTTTTACATTTTATGTAATTTAAGAGAATAAAATAAAAAACCCATACGAGTGGCGGGTTGTTATCGTAATTTTGTATATTTTCTGTATCGATATCCAGGGAGTACCTGGATCTATGTGTAAGTGTAGGCAGTTGAGGAATATTGTTGAGCCATAATCGAAACTTGACGAACGGGAATTATTAAACTAAAACTTACCGGATAAACGGTCAAATGATAACCTACTGCCTTTCTGCATGCTGGATTTTGCCCCACACATCAACTCTGTGTCTTTCAAAATAATACGATGGATCTTCTTTATATTGCCGACGTTTATTTCTTGTTCTAACTTTAGCAAGGTATTGTATAAGTAATGAGTTACAATCAGCTGGTTACAGGATTTCGATAACTTCAATTTCTTTTCCAGGCTTATCAAGGAGAGATCCCGGCTCGGGTAATTGTGCCTCCTCATGTTGTAAATCGTCAATGTTATAGTCTTTGTTCATATGGTTTGCGACTCTGCACTTCCTAGTAAATTTCCCTCTATGACGCAACTTTGATGTGAAAAATTACAACCATACGTTAAAAGAAGATCTTTAACCGGAATCTCGATAATATCTTATGACAGAATATCATCCAGAAAATCAGAATTCTTGTGTAAAAGTCTATTGAGGAAGTAAAAAAATATAATTGTCATTCCGAGCAAAAAGTCACAAAAACGTTTGAAATTTACTGTTCGTACCGTGAGCCTGTGCGCGCCATTCAAACGGGCGAAAATAGTTCTCCCAGACCATCCCAGATTTACCAAGATCTAAATCCCCTTCTTTAGTTTTGAGAAAGAGGTAGTATAAATCTACGAGAAAATAAGAAAAATTATTTTCTGAACGCGTGTCTGAAGTATGCAGATTCAAAAGATACCTCTGTTAATAAAGCATTCCTCTCTTTACGCTGAGCTACTGAAAAGTATAAAAACTACTTCGGAAATAGGTGAAAGCAGAGGCAGAATTAAATTTCTATATTAATATAACATGTAACTGAACAAAATGCAAAAGTTTCGTTTTTGATACACCAATGCGCGAGATAAAATAAAAACAGTAAATTTGCCGACCTCCTTCAGTAGTAAAGTTTATATTCACTTTTCTTCATTACTGTCAAGGAATTTTCTTAGAAAGACGTTAAATTGTTTTCTCCAGATCGAATTTTAATCTCAAGAGAACCGTAGCAATTAGCGACACAGAAAAGCGTCAAAGCTCTCAAGAGACCAGGAAATGACTACTTTAGAACTAGCGTGTCCTGATCTCTAAAAGCACAGTGGTGAAAATAAAGGCGTGTGAATTGCGTCAAAAATTTTCAAAGGCAAGCATCATCGCATCTGCTAAACCATATTTTGTTTTGTTTGGTTTTGTTGCAGCAGAATAGCATTGTATGGTCATGTTTTTTATATATATGAAAAAATTAATTTTTGGATCATAAAATTTGGGGTAGACAGCTTGACTAGGTGAGCTAAAAAATTCCATTCTAAATGTGTGTCATGCTCAAACTTTGGATCGAGTAACAAGTTGGTAAAACTCATGCATTTTGCCGTTCGTGAATAGATATAGAAGAGGATAATAGAATTTAGGGGGTTATCTAACAGTAATCGCAGTAACGAAGACTTTAATAAAAATCTTATAATTATGTAATAAACTGTTTGTGGGATGTTGCTAATATTGGGTGCTCATTTACGAGAGGATATGGTCTTTTGTAAATAAACAAGGATGTGTATTATTGATAACAAACGCGTCTTAATTTAATTAATATCTTTGTCAGTAAATGTATTTAAGTAATAATTATCGCGATTAGTTCCGTTGTTCTTTCCCTTATCCTTTGCAATCATGGTTGACTCGAGACTTGAACTCCAACGACAGACAATTTATTATTATTGGCCTAATGGCGTCCAATGTCCAAAGGCAATGCATAAAAAGACCAACATGCCTGTTTTTAAACAGCTGCGAGATACAGGAACTAAAAGTAACGAATGTCATTCCAAGGTTACACGAACTATCGCTTGGACAGAAAACGCAGCGCTGCCATTCGGCGACATATGAAGAGAGGAAAAAAGGAATACGAGAGTTTCTATACCTCTTGCAACGCCAATGCTAATTAGTCGGCATATTGAGCTACGAAACGCTTGGGCACAGGCAAAACTCTTTCATGTTTACCACTCTCTAAGCGTCTAGCACTCTTAATACCTATCAACTCTTTTATCAAGGAATCCGTTCCTGCAAATTGGAAAAATTAACTCATAAACACAACGTTACACTTGCAGGACAATTGGGCCCGTACTAAATTCACTGACGAGACAGCATTCATTTTCGGGATAAAGTCAGTCGGGCAGCGGCGAAAACCGATTCGCCGATTACCAAAAGTATTGGCATGGTGAGTATTTCACTCGAGAGGGAAAACATCTTTGTTAGGTTTCACAGATATAATGGATAAAAATTTTAGTATAAATATTGGCATATAAGGTTGTTCTATTAAGGTGGTTTTTTTTAGAATATCGGTAATAAATTTAATTAGAAAAAAATTAGAGATTGGTATAAAAAGGTTTGATTGTAAGTATATTGCAGACATATCTGCTGTTTACGACAATATGCAAGCACACGTCACGTATTGCTAAGTATTTTATTGTAAAATAAAATTCGGTCAATTGACTGGTTATCCAATTCAAACTTAAACCTTATCGATGCTTCTCTCACTCCTTAGAAGGAATGGTCGTTTTCGGGAAAATATTCGTCTAGACCGTGATGAACGTTGAAAGCTATGGCATAGACGGCTATTATGCTTTAGTTTATAACGCTAGTCACATGGAGCCCATCACTGAAGCGATGCTGAGAAGAACCCTCAGGATACGCCCATCGCGTTCACAATCATATAGAATTTACCCCAGTTAACCGAATTTTTATATGACAACCTTTATTAACCGTATCCGAAGATTTTTATTAGAACAATAATAACAAAGTTGCCCCCGTTAAACTGAAGTTTTCGATTTAACCGAATTATTCGAAGATCTGCCTTTGTTAACCGAAGAAAGAAAAATTTCTAACTTCTAAGCACCTTTATTGTGGTTTATTTGATCCGCAGCTACTTCACTAATTATAATTGTATATATTCTAACCGATTACCTATCCACACATCTATAAATAAACGCATTACAAGTGCCCACAAGTATTTTGACAACTGCTTCTGCAATTGAGAGTCAACAAATACAGGATGTTATAGCACGTACCTCGGATCTGGGTGCAGATCTCGACTTCCTAGAGTCGTTGACTAGAAATGAGAAAAAACGCATCACTGACATATTCAACCTAGGAAACCCCAATGCTGACCCCAACAACCCATGGACCTGTGAGGTTAATGATTTACAGCCATGGCTTCAGATTCGCTTTGAAGAGTTGGCTAAAATTTGGAAACTGCGTGCCTACCGCATTGGAGGCACAGCAGGTAATACCTACCCAGATCATACCCTTACTTGTCCGAACTGGGGACCCGCCTGCAGCAGTGTGGCTGATCCTATCGACTTTGGCAAATGTTGGGCATTTGAAGCCAAACTTGGGTGGACATCTGGAAAGCTCAGCAAGGCGCTTTTGCAATGCAGTCGGTATTCGGAGTATTTCTTCCAAGCTGAAAGTAACCAGAATTGTCCATATGTGTCGATCATAACCGACGGCCAGAAGTACCGACTTTTGTATGCTCACATGACTGCTACCAGCCGCCCAGTCCAGGGTTGGACAAACACCTATGAATGGAGCAGGGAGACGCTTCATATTGTAGGAAGAGTCTTCAAGACTTTTGCCAGAAGGGGCCCGACACCAGGATATCAGGCTGGTGGCTCCCAAGATTCTGAAAATTTTGGCCTGGACGAAGAGAAGCTGAGGGTAACTGCTTTCGATTCAGCGTTTGGGGGTTCCAATCTCTCAGAACATATAAACGTTCCTATATCCAGCATTGCTAAGGATCTGTGCAACAATAACGAAGGTTTTACGAAAGAGATTCTGCAATCTGCAAGTAGGCTGTCTAAGCACAATCTTCCAATTATAACAACATGTATCGGTGAATTAGTGGCATATCAAGTTCTAGGCGCGCATGAAAATACTGTTGTTTTTGCAGCACACCGCACACACCGCAAGTCCGGTATGCAGTACGCTATCAAGTACAGTCGTCATGTCATCAATCTAAAACGTGAAGCAGAAATATTAAGAAAGCTTGACGGACTTTTGAACACTCCGACGCTGTGTCATAAAGACTTCAACAATACGGTTCCCTACATCGTGACTAACATGGTCGGTCAGAAGGTCGGGGAGGTCAATTTGACAGAAGCCTACAAACTTACCGCTGACATTCTTGAGGTTCTCCAGAACCTTCATGGTTATGGTTACGTCCACAATGACATTCATCCCGGCAACATCATCAATATGTGTGGGAAATTCCGACTGATAGACTTCGGCCTTGCAGCTCAACTATGCAACAGGATGCGAATTGCTCCACCTGGTTGGCCAATGGGCCATATTACGTTTGCCTCTCACAACTTGGACTATTGTTACGGCGCTAGAGACGACTTAGAAGCATTATGCTACACAGTCGCGTGTATGAGTAATCCATATCATAGCTATTGGCAAATTGCCCTTCAGGATAGGCATATGGCCTTCCATCGAAAGGAAACAAAGCTCTTCACCCTCTTTGATCATCTTCCGAAATTATTTTGGGATTTCTTTGAATACGCATATAATCTTGACATTACCATAACTCCAGATTACGACCATTGGCTGCGGCGATTCCGGCAGGCCTCCCTTAACTCACTTGGTCTATCAAAAAAACGCAGCTCGAAAGACACGTTGATCGGATCTAAACGTCAGACACGAGCCCGAATCTCATTATCGAATGGAAATTCCTACCTGCAAGAATGGACAGATGCCGAAATTCACCCGCATGATTAATGTTTCGATAATGACAAGGTCATACTCTTGAAAATCTTTTCTTCGTTTACGGAATCTTTCATTCTAACTTGCTCTTAATGATCTCAGTCTTTTTTCTTGCATTAATAGCAAAGAGCCTGCCTTCGTTGGCTACTTAACCCGCATAAGAGAATTCTTGCCCTGCTAGATTAATTACATTTACAAACCCGTGGTCTAAAAGGCTTGAAATAATTACAGAATAAATCTCATTATTGGCATTTTACATGGTGTGCAGAATTTCGTAAGATCGATAACACGCTTACTTGGTAACAGCATGACCACGTGCGAGTGCTATGAAAACAATATATAGGATTATACACTCACCGGACAAAAGTATCGAATCAGCTTGACGATCTAAAGGAGCCATATTGTGCGTATTTACTATGTAAGTCACAACGATTCATGAAGATAATTGGTTGTAGTTTTCGAGAAAACAGTAGTCCTGTTGCAGTTCATTGAAGTGGTAGTATCTACGTTACACATGAAAACATACGTGTAACGTAGATACGCTACTGTAGTTTCGGAACTATAACAGGACTAAATATATCACAATTATCTTCAAATCGATACAAAAATCGTTGTGACTTACATAGTAAATACGCACAATATAGCTCCTGTAAGAAAAAGATTTTTCATATGTTTGTAGGATTATATGTATATGAAAATTGGCAGAAGTGGTGGTTCTAATGAGTATGAAAGGCAATTAATTTTTTGGAAAGAGGCTGTCATTGTAGTTGCTCAGCCAAAGTTCCAAAGGAAAGTTTTGCTGAATTGCGTGAAGCCTTTCACGCTTTGTCCAAACCAGAACAAGATGCATTTCTAATGGCCCAAATTAAAGCAATGAATGGCGGAGAAATAACTGCCAGTCGACGTCTTAAAAAGAAAACGCGTACTAATAAAAGAATTTTTATTATTGAGATCGCAATACGCCGCTTTGTCAGAAAACGTATCTCAATATGTTGAGAATTGGTCGCACTCATTTGGAAAACGTCAGAAATCATCTCGCAACGAATGGTATAATACCGCGCGTTCATGGTAACATAAACGAATGCCACGATGGAAAACCAAAATAACCATTGATATAACAGTTGCTACTGCCGTGAAGAATTTTCTTGAAAACTATGCTGAAATAAATGGATTACCAAGTCCTGGTAGAAATGTTAACCACATTACTCAATCGCTTATACTATTGCCAGCGAAACAAGTTATAAATCGGTCTATCGTGATTATGAATCAATTGCTGTACTCATAAATGTTATCATATTTTAGACGGTGACTGGACAGAAGTGGATAAACTATGTGCTGAACCTCTTCTCAGGAACCATAAAAGTTTTTTGTACGCTGTATTCAAGCAACAGTATCTTGAATACATTGAACATCAAGAGATGCAAAAGGTGATCCAAAGTTTGAACTTATGATTATGTTTTTTTTTGTTGTAGCCGACAAGTGCTAATGTTATTTTGCCCATCAACGTGCTTAGGCGTTTACGTTTTTAAATAAACG